CCTCACTCCCATTATTCCTCTGTCAGATTCTCCGCAACATTTCCACCGACAAAACTGCCGGCCCGCCACCCCCAACAGCCTCCGCAGAGCCCTCAGTCTCAGTCGATAAATTCTTCTCAATTCCCCCTTCTTCTCCCATGGCAGCCGTTGATCCTCACTCCTTCACAGACTCGACTCACCCCCTCACAACCCACATCTCCCTTTCTCTCTACTTTGACTTCCCATCATCCACCATCCTCGCCTCCACCCTCATCTCCCTCCCTACCACCCACTCTGGCCCTTTCACGCTTGACACCCGCTCCCTCTCCATAACCTCAGTTCTTGATCCCACCACCCTCACCCCACTCCCCTTTACCCTCACCCCACCAATCCCTCATCCTGTTTTCGGCCAGTCCCTCATCATCACCCTCTCCAATCACTCCCAAGTCATCATCATCTCCAAAACCTCAGCTTCTAGCTCAGCCCTTCAGTGGCTTTCGCCCCCGCAAACATTTAATAAAGCATTTCCTTTTGTTTATACCCAGTGCCAGTCCATCCATGCTAGGTCTATTTTCCCTTGCCAGGATACCCCTGCTGCCCGCATTCGTTATGATGCTAAGTTGAATATCCCTCGCCAACTGTTCGCTGTTATGTCCGCCAGACATGTTGATAGGCGGGCCCCTGTTGTCGGGTCTGGTGAGGCTAGGGGAGCTTGTGATGATTCTCTCTGGTGTGGGGATGATAGGGTTGTGGACGATTTTTTGATGGAGCAGCCTATACCGCCTTATTTGTTTGCTTTTGCTGTTGGAGAGTTGGGGTTCAGGGATGTGGGACCACGCTCGAGGGTGTATTCGGAGGCGGCTCCAGCAGTGTTGGATGCTGCTGCTAGGGAGTTTGCTGGGACAGAGGATATGATCAGGGTTGGGGAGAAACTTTTTGGGCCTTATGACTGGGAGAGGTTCGATTTGTTGGTGCTGCCCCCGAGTTTTCCTTATGGTGGGATGGAGAATCCGCGGATGGTGTTCTTGACACCCACTGTCATCAAGGGTGATGCCACTGGGGCGCAGGTGGTGGCTCATGAACTTGCTCATAGCTGGACGGGAAACTTGATTACTAACAAGACCAATGAACATTTCTGGTTGAATGAGGTATCTAATCTTTAGAATATAGACTAAGGAACAATTGATTGAGGCCTTGCTTATGTTGTGATGTGAGTCAGCAGAGATATTTCCTGAAATGGTAGTAATTCCATGGATAAGTTAACAGACATAATCTAGATTATCGTGTTCTATTTTTGATTTCAGCAAATGGTTTACAACCTTAAACTGCTCTTATCAGTGTTGTTTTTTGTTAGGGCTATGAAAGTGTGGTTTGTCACAGTTTCCTATTGAATTTCCACAAAGCCTGTGATTACAAGGAATTGGTGGCATCCTTGTGGATGGTCTTAAATTAACTGTTGAATGAGGAATTTGCAGTTAAATTGATTAATACTTTGTTTTTTACATGAGACTTATGACGGTAATATTACATATCAACAGGAACAAAATCACCACGAATGTTTTCTGTATTTCTTTTGCAAGTCTTTGCTAAATTGATGTTCTTTCTTGAGTTATCTGACTATGAAAGATTAGGTTGGTGCCCTCTTTAGGTCTTGTACTTCCTCCAACTGGAGTTGGTTGTAATTCATTTCTGATGGCTGTGTAGATAGGTGGAAGAATTGTTAATGTAGTAGAAATGGTACAGGAGGGTAGTGGACATCTTTAGTAGGAGTACTAGAATGACTTAAACCAAAATAAAATAGCTCTCACCTTTTAATGCCTTGAAAAGATGCACTATAAGTGATGGTATTGAACTCTCATGGAGTAAGTTATTAATGGATCCTATCTATTTTTTAAGCTGCTTCTTGAAGGTTTTCCCCTGGAACTACACAATTCTGTAGTTGAGAAAGTCACTTTTATGTGCATTAATGTGTATCTGTATTGTATATGGATTTTCTTTTTGTAGTTAGGAGTAGAACAATGATTGTCCTTGTCATGTTGGATGCTTCTATATGAAAGAAATGGACAGGCAAAGGATTTCTTGTGCTTGCTTGAATTTTGCATAGATTTAATTCATCACAAAATTTACACGTTTATAGGGTTTTACCACTTACGCGGAGCGGCGAATAGTGGAAGCTGTGCAGGGGGAAGACAGAGCTGCACTGAATATTGGAATTGGTTGGAAGGGGCTTGTCGATGCAGTTGAGAGATTCAAGGATAACATGGAGTTTACAAAGCTGAAAACGAACCAAGAAGGTGTGGATCCAGATGAAATATATTCTGAGATTCCATATGAGAAAGGTTTCCAGTTTTTGTGGCGTATTGAGAGACAGGTGTATATGCCAGTTTTTCCCTATGCCTTCAAGGCTGTTAATTGTTGACTAACGGATGTTTCTTTTTATCAGTCTAATTTCTTTCTTCACGTGGAAAATATTACCACTGCCAATCTATTTACTTTAATTAATAAGAGGGACTTCATCTGAAGTTATTAGCAGTTTAATAGAGTTTTGTTTTCCCAAATTCAGATTGGAAGACCTGCATTTGATGAATTCATCAAAAAGTACATTGCAACCTTCAAGTTCCAATCTATTGATACAGACACGTTTCTCAATTTCTTAAAAGCTAACGTGCCTGGAATTGAGAATCAGATTGATTTAAAACTATGGACAGAAGGTATTGGCATCCCACCTGATGCCATGGAGCCAGTTTCCAGTATCTATACAAAGATTGTGTCACTGGCTAATGAGTTTAAACTAGGCAGGATGCCGAGGGAGGATGAAGTTGCCGATTGGCATGGACAAGAGTGGGAGCTTTACCTTGAGAACCTGCCTAAATATGTTGAAGCTTCACAAGTAAGTTCTTTTGGAATAGAAAATCTGTGGTAATTATTTTTTATTGTTGTTTCCTAGACCTGTCTTTGTATCTTTTCTTTTACTTATCTATGTTTCATTTACTTGGAAATCATTCCTGGTAGTTAATAAATAGCATACAGGATGAGCCTTAATACTTTTCAATTGCTTTGTTGGTCTCATGGGGATATCTTAATGTTTTGTATCCTTTAGCTTTTTGTTTATACTAGCCTTTTGTTGTATGGAATGTATTAAAAAACTGGTAGGTATCATTTGATCCTCATGGAGATATCTTAATGTTTTGTATCTTTCAACTTTTTGTGTATGCTAGCCTTGTGTTGTATGGAATGTATAAAAGAACTGGTTGGTATCATTTGACCCTTCAATTCCACCATGTGTTTCTGAGTTTGGAGTCTGTTGAAATTATTGACTTTGTTAATTGCTTTTGGGCTTGGATAAGCAGAAGCAGATTTAAATTGGTTGCTACATTTTCTCAGACGTTAGAAAAATTTGTTTCTTACTGTTGTTGATAAATGACAATCCTTTGATTGACCTCCAAGCTCAACAGATCTTTCTATAGTTTTGATTTATCAACTAATTTAATATGTTCAAATTGGTTCTCAACTTTTCTAGCCTTGAAAGAAATTAGATGTTGACAGGTTTGAGATGACTTACGGCTTAATTCTGGCCTAAAAAAGATCTTGAATCTTACATTTGTACATCTGGAAAGAGATGAACTACAAGTAGAGTTTTCTCTCAATTAGCTCTAGTTTTTCACTGCTACCATTCAAAGATGCGGTAGCTTTTAGGAGAGCTTGATACAAGCGGTTAAGAGGATGAAGTTATTGCTCTTGTGAAGAATAGGCCTCTTTGTGGCGTTAGTGTATCTGTTCAACTTGAGAAAGTGTCCAATTGACTCTAAATAAGCATTTATCTATTTCTTTGGCTACAGTTTGGTTCCTTTATGCTATTTGGTACTTCCCAATACTTTGTTTCTGCCCTTCTTATTAAGATACATAACACCAAAGCCTTGGCTTTATGAGTTAAAAGGATATGCTTAATTGATAGTTTCAGGTGAGAGATAACAGCATTTTGTGATGAAGAATTAAGATTGTAAAGTTGGTTTTGTCTTTCAATTTGCGGTTGTTGCACAGGCTTTAGCTTTGGATGCTCGCTATAGGCTTTCAGAATCAAAAGACTATGAGGTCAAGGTTGCTTTTCTTCAGCTGGCGATTGCATCGAAGTGCAGAGACTATTTTGGTGAGGTGGAGAAAACTCTAAAAGAAGTTGGGAGGATGAAGTACCTTCGCCCACTTTATACTGCTCTTGTTCAAGGTGCTGGAAAGGATGAAGAGAAAATTTTTGCGAAGAGGGTGTTCTCAGAAGCTCGAGATTGCTACCATCCAATAGCTCAGGGAGTGGTTGAGACCATCCTGAGAAAATACGTGTAAAATAGCATATATGTTCGAACAATATGCACTAATCTAATTTCTGATGTAACTTTTGATGTCTGGTATCTTACGTGCTGGTGCCTTAAATGTTTAAAAGCTAAATCATCCTTCTAGGTGCTTTTGTTGATCTAGATTTCTTTCTAACTACTGGATTTTTGTACAGGTTTTATTGGTAAGTTTGTTCCTTTGATAATTCCCATATTCATAAACCAAGACCTTTTTGGAGGCCTTTAGCTGCAAAGTTGTGAACTTAAAACAGTCATGCAGAAGCTCGGAAGCTTTACTTGGGGACTTCTATCATCCTTTTACTTCTTTAACCCATTTAATGAGTAAGGGCTGGTTTGTACGAAGGAGCTGACTTAGATTGTTAACATAATTATATGAAGTTAGATTGTTTTGGTAACTGAGACCTCAACTCTTCTTCATTTAATGTCTTAATCATCAATTTCCATAATTTTCTTTAGCTAAAGAATAGCATGTTCTACTAACTCTATCTCTTTCTCATGTATTTGATATTTGTTTCTGGTTCTGGATATAGCAGGGTCCTGTTCCTCTTGCAGTGATGTGGTTTTTCATAGAAGTATAACACTAAAAGAGAAACATACAAGGCACTATAGCATTAGTTCTAGGAACATCGTCTCTTTTGCCCAGAAACAGTAAATATGCCAATTCTATATGGGCTATCAAATGCTTGTTGTGGAAACCTTCAATTTCAGTCCATGTCTCATATGAAGTATCACAGAATTATCTGGAACAGTTTGATGACCTTCTAAGATATGAAAGTGGAAACGACAGAGAAGGGCTACTGCAACAATTTTCATTTGGATGAAACAAATTTCCTTGCCCTTGCAACTCCTAGGTCCTGCATTGAATGCTGTAAACTTGAAAGATGGTTCATGTGCAATACCTACTTGCTCTGAAATCCATCTCTGTGGTTTGAATTCCCAGCAGACTTTGCCCCAGATTGTTTCCATCCTGCCCATCGCATGGAAAGGCAACAGCGTCTTGGTATTAGGATTTATGCTGTGACCACTTGGAAGAATATCAGGGTTGACAGGAGCTTTGTGCTGCGTTGCAACCGGAGGGAACAGGCGAAGTGATTCACATAATGCGCCGCGCAGATAAACCTGTTTCTTCATCTCTTCTAGGTTGGAAAACTGCCACCTTCCTTCTTTTACCTGTAAGTTACTCAGTATCTCTTTTCGAACCATACTTTCTTCAATAGGATTTGAAGCAAGGAGCCAAAAGAACCAAGTGAGACCTGCACCTTTGATATCTTTACCCGCAAAGATTAAATTGAGTAAAGCGTCTCTCCAAATTTTTTGAGACACTATATCAGATGTTCTATTCTCTTCTTTGAGGACACCGACTGCTTTCATATACCTTGCTAACAAGTCAAGGCCTCCTCCATCTTGCGAAATCGCAGTTTGGTTTATGCCTTCCAAGTTTTCCGACTTAGATGAGATGTTGGTAGCTAAAAATTGATGAAGGTTCTCCCGAGCTTTAGTTAACTTCTTTTCCGCACCAATTTGAAGCCACCTCTGAATCTTCCAGCAAGTTCTGGGTACCACATGTCTGTAAAAGACTGCTTCCTCGGCATCAGCAAAGGCATTTCCTAATGGACTTTCTGGCAAGTCAATACCGGGTGAAGCAGGATCATGACCCAATACTAATAGGCAAGTGGTGTCAAAGGTAAACTTGGCAAATAGTTGTTGCAAGTCCACCTCCATACCTGACTTGGCCGCAAGCTCCAGGACAGGGATCAGCCCTTTCTCCAACTTGTTCCAGCTAGTTATTCCCACAAACTTCTGGAATCCCTGGTGATTAATTAGTGGCATGATCGTTTTCCTTGGGCTTTCCCAAGATTCGCATTCAGCATTGAAGATCCCCTTTCCTAGAATGTCAAACATCTTTTCAAACTCAGGACCCTTTTGAAAGTTTGAGAAGCTTTTACTCAATATGTGGTTGACGTTAGCAGGATCGCTGGTGACCAGCATATCCATATTTGCGAACCAAGGACCTTTAAACTCAAATGTGCCTCCACTTTCTTGCAAAATCTCGGTTATATAATCCTGTGCGCGGTGCACATTTAGGAACAGGTCTGGCATCATGCCAATAACCGGCCAGTTAAAGGGAATTGAGGTTCTCTCCTCCTCCTCCTCCAATACCTATAGCACGCAAAAAGAAAGTAGACGACCACACAGAGAATCTGAGGGTATAGAATGATAGCCATCAGAATGTAGGTGGATTACTTCATGAGTTAAAGAGGTTATTCAATGCCGTCCCTCGAGGCTTCTTATATGGGGCATTTTTCAAGCACGTAGCTATAAGAAGGACAGGCATCTAAAAGGACGATCTTCTGTTCAGTGCCTGAAGAAGTTAAAAAATGCAATGTGGCCTTGGTTGTATTTTGTGCTTGTAAGGCGCCATATCTCTTCTGAAGAGGTTTTAGGAATGCTATTGACATGACTTTCAGGTACACAGAAAAGAGGGGAAGTTGTGACTTTTGCTGTATGATGTAACATGTTGGTAGGACTTGCAACTTTTCAATTTTAAGTTGTGAGTGCATGCACCAACTATATTCAGACTTTATTCGGTATCTCTTGATTCAGGTTTCAGATAATATAAACAAATTATATAGCGTTTGCAATATATCACAAGCAATTACATTAATATGTAACTGACATATTGCTCGCTCACTTAGAATCAGTAAAAGATTAGACTAAAATATGAAAGTGATTACAGGTATCAATTTTCTTCAAGAAAGTTGGAGGTACGAGTCCAACTGCCCGTGTTTGGTACATGTTCTGGGGTTGATACTAAATTATGAGATCCCAGATAATTCCTGTATTGTATTAGGTATTACCACCCCCTCATTTTTAGACACTTCGGGGTGATTGTTTAGACACTTTCGCAAATACTCAAAGAGTACCAAGCGAAAGTTACAGAGTTTGTTATGCTACTAGAATCCTTTGAGAAAATGTACTTGTCTGAGAATAAAATACCAGTACCCACTCTCAATTTCTTGTGGTTCCCATACACCATCTCCGCAATGGAGATGAAACATACCAATCCCCAAATGAACCTGAGCTTCAAGTTTCCTGATTAAGAAAAAACTGGATACTGAGTTGATTGATACAAGAAGCTTCTGTTCATCTTGGAAGATGCTTCTAAGCTAAAAATGAAATTCAGCAGAGTGCGCGGCGGTCAAGGCACATCGCCAGCATCACAAACAACATTTCCTCTACATCAATGGCAAGTCAATAGTAAGAATGACTCAAGAAAGTAACAATTAATCATGTCTCAGAATACCATGTCTCAAAGATGTTTGATCAGAAAATTTGTGTAATTTTGGGGGGAAGGAGGGTTGCCCATGATGGAGCAGAAAGCAAGACAGGAAGTGAGGGATGAGGTGGCTCAAGTATTAAGTCAGGTTGTAGTAGGCATATCCAAATTGCCTATCACTAGCTTTGGCAACTCTCTCTCAGTCACAGAATCTGGAATTGGTTATAACCTGATCATAATTTTTCTGCGGTTCCTAGTACTTGCTGCATAATTAGGGACTCTTCATGTAATACAGAAACTCTCATGCATTGAAATCATATGAAAATGGGCTAATGGTTTGATATCCTCAAATGTTGCTGGAACCCATACAAATTAAGAGAATCAGCTTGAAGGGAGTCTGGTTGTCAGTTAGAAACCTAATTGATCCCCCTGAAGGCTCTAAAGTATCTGTATGCCAAGAAACCTTCAATCAAATGCAGCCCTTCATAATTTATAAAACTTACATCAAATTAACAACTCTACTAAGATGCGAATCTCAAAAACAATTCCGACGATGCAATTCATTAGTATCACATAACGCATAGCTATGTCTGACTCAGATTAAAGGACCAAAGCAATCATTAAATCATTAAATAACAACACCCCATCTTTTTACCGCACGATATTCTTGTCCCACAGCATCATTATTTGGAGATTAATCAATTAGTAATGAGTCAATTTTACAACAGAAATATATGATCACCCACCTACATACCTAGTCGACACATCCAAACCTCACTAAGGTTGCATCTCATTCAGAATCATCAACGACATTGTCACAACAGTTGAAACTACTCATCTGGAACAAAAGTTTCTCCCAAAAATGACACTCTAGTTGAACCTGATTGAAGAGTATCACTCTAGTCAAAAACCAAAGAAACAAATTCAGGATAATCAGCCTATAAAAATCTTCATCAAGTTGTGTCAGAAGAGATATAAACTACAAGCTTTCCCACTTGAATTTGATGAAGAAATGAAGTCTAATTAACAAAACTTACAGGGCAGGCATTACAGCCAATAGCAAAACAAGAAGAGCAACCAACTATTCTCCTCAACTACCACCCTCCTCCTCCAACTTCTTCACATAAGCCTGTAGCGTCATAACCAAATTCCTAGCAGGGGCCTGCAAAGTTCCAACAACAGCAGATGCAGGACCCTTGAGCGATCCCAGAATCTTAGCATAAATTTCAGCTCTTGATGGTAAAGATTCCAAGGCCTTAAACTCCTCAGGCCCATACAACTTCCCTTCAAAAACAGCCCCAGTAAAATCATTCCCTTCCAACTTTTGCTCCCTCTGAAACTCCCTGTAAGGCTTTATTGCAGCTGGGATTTCTTCACTATGGACAAATAACCAAGCATTCATTCCCTTCATGCATGGCTTCAGTGCTTCCCACTGAGTCCCTTCAATGGCTTTATAAACAAGAGTGTTTTTAGCAACGAGAAGTTTCGAGGATTCTGGGAGTTGCCTTCTAAGTTCTTGAAATTGTTTCACGGTAAAGCCTTTATAGCCAATGCCAGCGATGAGATAGCAACCTTGAAGCTGTCGTTTGACTGATTCAACAGTTTCTTCTTTCTTGGTTCTGCTGATGGCTGAGCGGATTGTTAAAGGTGCGAACTTTGGGCGGCGGCAGTGGTGGTGGTGGTGGTGCGTGGTGAGGAAGGGGTTTCTGAAGTGGTATTTTAGAGAAACATTGTGGGAATTGGATGGGAGGGTGGGTGTTGGGGGTCTGGAAGAAGGTAAGGTGAGGAGATTGGCCTCCATTTCCAGGGATTTGTGGCCTTTTTGTTGCTGAAACGGTTCAGTAATGTTTCGGGTCTGAGTCTGAGATTGTTCACCTTATCCTTTCTTTTGGCTGGGGGAAGCGGCCTGAAACGGCTGCGTTTAACGAATCAATTCTTATCATTTTTCTCCATTTACCCCAAACTTTTATATGAATTAACTTTAGCACAATTTCCTTAACTTTTCAAAACTTGTTTCCTGAAATTGATCCAATCCTCTTCAAGTCAATTTGGGAAATGATATTAGCGCTTCTCAAAAACATCTCAAATGCTTCTTAAACTTCATCTAATGCAAAAGAAGGCACGAAAAGTACTATTATTATTTGGATAGGGTATTATTTGAAATATTATTTGGAATAATTACTGTAGCACTTTTTGTGATGTGATGTATGTGAGATAAAAAGATGATTGGGAATATAAAAAGATGGGTTGGAAAATGTGTTTATGATATAAGCGAAATATTATTTTGGAAAAGTTTTGTATCCAAACACTCCCATTATTATTTTCTCCTAAATAATAGTTACATCTAAGACTGGGGAATATGCTTTAAGTAGCTTTATCATGGTATGATAGTAAAGCATATGTGTGTGTGTGTATATATATATATATATATATTGGAAGAAAGCCTACATCAAAAAGTTGTAGTATTACACATAATAAAGTCATATATATATTTTTTTATCGAATCAAACAAAAATTTAGGTTCTATCTGGTTGGAATTAAGGTAATTTAAAATTGAATAACTTTTACAAAGGATTATAATTTTAAATTCTTTTTGTTCCTGCAATTATATCTTGCATATTTCTGAAGCTATTTAACTTGAGAGATAAAAAAAACAACTTTCTTTCTTAAATTTTATTGGTTTGCCTTTGCTGAAAACGTCCTACAACAACTACAAGTGTCGTTATTGACTGCAAAAATTGACTTGCACAGATTATTTTCGCATCCTGGAGAGACCATAGATACGTATGACAGAAAACAGTAAAAACAGAAAAAAGTTATCGGATCAAAATGCTGGCGCGCAGCACAGCTTAGTTTCCATGAGCTGCTGAACTGTGAGCAGAAGTGTACGACAACTGCTTATGGTATCGAAATTCAATTGCAAGTATTCCACAGGGACTGAGTGGAGAATAGTTTGTGGTCTGAATTGATAATCGTGAATGCAAAGTCTGCTGCACTGAACTGGAAAGTAAAGAACGTGCTGAAGAAGATGGATTGGGCAAAGCATCAAACTTTGGCTTCCAACTAATTAAGAAGCACTCTCTCTTTCCAAAATGAAATCAACCGCCTCTGCCACTGTATCAACCACCTGTGTAGCCAATCAAAATTCACACATAGTCGGCAACTGCACAGGAGATTGACTGGGTCACAGTTGAAGTATTTGCTTATCTTTTGAACGAAACAGTTCACCAATTTGGTTCATGTCATGGTGGATGTATTCTTAATGTAATGTCAAAGAAACCAAAAAGGATAAACAGCAAAAGGTAAGCTGAACTTCAGATGAATATTCAGGGTTTATTGGAAGATCTCTGGGGCCATTAAGCTGAATCAATCAGGTAAAGCTGAATGTGGAATTATGTGGATATGTCAGTAAGAATCACAGTTTCGTCTCCGTTCAGGATTAGATATTTTTGAGGGTGTTTTTGAAATATTTTACTGTGTAGCAACGTGGGTGAAAAAGTTTTACTGTAGATGAGATTGTTTTTTAGGCTGTTTTTAAGGTTGTTTTTGTTTGTGTATTACTGTAGCATTGTACATGAAAATCTCTTGTTTTTCAAAAAATGACCAATATTACTAGAGCATTGTATATGAAAATCTTGTTTTTCAAAAAATGGCCAATGCAAACGCATAATGAACTGCATAATTCGGGCGCTCAAACTCTATCCTCATAATTGAGGTTGTATAATTCAGGCACTCAATCTTTATCCTTATTGACTAGTGTACCAAAACAAGAGTTTTTGCACATTGCAGTTCATCATATCAAAATAACGATAGTAGATGTTAATTTTCGTGTCAAGTGTCCCGTAACAGTCTGTTCCAAAAGCCAGCAAAACGATTTAGCTCATCAAGCACCACAACTGAAATCTATTGAATGTATCATCATCAGACTTACCACGTCAGCTGGATATTCAGGATGGTTTTCCGTTTGCCTAAAAACACCTGTTCTAGTCAAAATTGAAAACCAAGGATGTCCTGCCTGAGAATTCAAAGGGTAAAGAAAAGAACTGAGAAGAGAGACCAATGTCACTTGGTTTCAAACATCAATTTTTGCATAGCTGAGATTAGAGAGTACTGTTACAGAAACAAACCTGTAATGCCCCCTTGATGTCTACTAAAGGATTGTCACCAATCATATAGAGGGTCTTAAAAGAATGTGACGACGAGTCTTCATCTTCCGGCCTAATGGCATTACCATGACATGAGAATGCCCAAATATGCCTTAAAATAGCTTCAGCATTCCTAAAAACAAATGGATTTGGCTTCCCAAAAACTGTACACTCCAGCGGCTTGTCGTGAATTCTGCACGGAACATGTACTTAATGAGTTTTCATATCATATAATGAAAAAAAAGAGAGAAATTCTGACCCAAATTGCATTGGTGAGAATGTCTTCAGGTTCTCTGGACAGGTACTTAAAAACTACTACTTCTTGACAGCAGGTTCTCTACGCTCACCTGTTGAAGACACTCTCAAGGGCAATTCTGAATGCACCTATGCCAAGACGCTCGGAAGGAAATGCAGCCTGTCCTAGATTAATGCATTATCAGTATCTCCTTAGTGAAAGGAAAGACTATCTACAGCGACAGGAGTAACTTTTCGAACATAACTAAAAGCAAACATCACATGAAGGAAATCAGTTACCTGATACTGAAGATCATCAGCAGCAAAAAATAGCGGTGGCTGATGTTCTTCCTCCCCTCCAAGAAGACCTCTAGAGGATAAAATGTCACATAGAACCTAATGCATCAATTAGTAGACCCACAAGGACTAACGACCCAAATTTTTGCTACTTATGAGAAACATCAAACAAGGAAAACAGCGATTACAGGAAAAGATTGAAGAAAGAATAACCAATGTAAAGGTAAAGAACAAAGACTCGTGTATCTCAAAACTAGCCGTGTTTAGCTATAGTTGCATCACATCTTATTTTGTCTATATTTTAACGTATCCGTTGGCATAAGTGAGCAATGAAGTATTCGACAGGAAAAAGACAAAGCGAAAGCAAGGCTTATGACTTGTCACTGGAAAGAAATTACAAGAAAAATTTTTGGTGTCTGAAGTATCCATGCTTTGTTTCTTGCCTTGATGTTCCCTTCCTAACTAGATTAGAACTTCTGTCATCTCTTTTTTCTTCCTTTTCCATCTTCATCACCACATAAGATCATTAGGTGATTTAAGCAGCTAATAGCAAAGATAAACTTGTAATCCTTGCAATGGATTGAAGCTGGGGCCATTACTACTCTAGTGTGGCCAAGCTATCCTTTGCAAGCATATTGAAGAAAAACCATTCTGGAGGCATTAAATTCCACAGCTTAAGCGTCACTGGCACTGGTTATTACGACCATATTTACACTTCCAGTCATGATTCATTGCTTGGTACAGACTCAAAATTATTCACTACATGATAGTTACTAGTGTAGGTTCTAGCAGAAAATTTAACATGATAATGCAGTCATATCTGTGAACTCACTGCAATAGAAATCAAGTTAAAATATAATCTGCTCACACAATTACAGTTATAAGTAGCCGAGGGGCAAAAGGTACACATGCAATCCATATCTAGAAAGAAAATTGATCATACACCTGAATATCTCTCCCCCAGTCAACAGGATCACTAACAATAAATGCAGCCTTTACTCTGTCGAGGGAAACATCTTGAATTGACTTCATTGAAAATGGTAGCATATTTGATTCCTGCCTAACTTTCCAGCTTTTGTACTGAGCTACAGGATCAATATTATCAAAGTATGATGCATAGTCGTCCAGTGAGATAACATTTCTGGACATATTTTCAAATTATAGACCAATTTAATTGAGCAGATATAAAAAAATCCAGACTGCATTGGATACTAAAATACGAAAGCATCATGTTGAAATATGATGCTACAACTTTCCTGAAACCATACTCAGACATCACCAGTTCAGGTTCCCCTTTTCCAGTTGCAACAATGAAATCATTTTCAAACCTGGATAAATAGGAGAATGCGAGATACAAATGAAGGGAATGTACGGGAAAGTTAAACGAAGTGAAGCTCAATGAATTACATATCTACCTGTTCAGCAAGCTTCTAAAAGATGAATGCCCCTGTACAACCTGTATCGAATGTCAATATAGAAAGCTTTTCCATGGCGAAAAAAGTGGATTTCACCAAGAAAACCAGAAAAAAATGCATAGATATATGAACATGCCAGAAAGGAGCAGAAGAGCAATTAATATTACCATTTCATATAAGCTTAATCAATTTAAAATGAAAAAGTAAATTATTCATCTATACATTGTAAATCCGCAAGGTACAAAACTGAACAGGGAGCTTGCCCCCCTTTGACGCTATAATGACTTCCAATTCACAACATCATGCAAATGTAATGTCACATGTTCAAAATGAATAGAAAAATAAACATCTAATCCATGGTGACAGCGGAAAATTGTTCAAAGATTACTTGAGATGGTAAAATTTTGACGCCTAGGAGTTGACTCATCTCAATGGCTCTTCTAGACTCTGGGGTGCCACCTCCTACAAAGCCAAATAAATGGATCATTTACCCAATTGACACTTATGCAGCACCATGTAAAAGACTGTGTTATTACAGGAAAATTCATTATGCACATCAATCATGAGTACTCAGAACTACTTTGACATTATTGCATTGAAGTCAGATATTTCATCTTATGGTTCCTCTTTGTGGAGAGCTTTTAACTTGAAGAATCGCTTCAAATTTGTTCCTATCATCTTACATCCACACTTATCTAAAACAGCTGAATGCTCAGGTTAAAAAAAAAAAGAAAAAGAAAAAGAATCCCAAAATACTCACCATT